GGCCCTCAGACAGCCTCTGGGGGCCCAGGCCCTCAGACAGCCTCTGGCCCCAGCGGCACTTTGATGCCTTTGATTGCTGAAGTTGTCAGCTACTCAGTCACCAGGTCTCAGAGCCTGGTCTTGTTCACCAGAGGGGAGGGCGGTGTAGAGCCCTCCTCTTGGGTGTGTCCGACTGGTATCCAGAGCCTTTGGGCTCACTTCTCTACCACCAGGGTCTCCTTGGCCCTCCTTGGTCCCCCGGTGGCGCCTGAATAATGATGTGCCCTTAAGAGGAGAGGAGGCTGGTTCAGAGGGCTGGTCCTTGTTGGGGCAGGATTCACACCCAGGGCTTTGGCTTCTCAGTCTGGTCCTCTTTCCCTAGACCAGGCTGCCTCTCAGAGGGTAACTGGAAGCATCTGTCGTTGTCAGAACCTGGGTGCAGAGGCCACCCCCAGGGCCGTGGGCCCCCAGCAGTGGGGTGACCTTGCCTGGGATCCCACCGGTCCGAGGGCTCTTTTGTCCTTTGCTCCCGCCAGCAGGGTCCAGCCTTGGTTTCTTTGGCTTAGATTTACTTCTAGAGCTCCTCGCTCACCACCAGCTGGCACTTGGAGGGGGCCTTTAGGCTTCCAGATTTAATTTTCGTGCTCTATTTAATCCTTAAGTGTCCTGTGATCGTTTTATCCATTTCTTCATGGATCTGTTGGAGGGAGTGGCCATGATTAGCCTCTTCAGTCTCTGCCAGTACTGAGGCATTCAAAGATCATCTTAAACTTTTGATGTGGTCCACTGGGATCCCAATGGCTTTTTTCACACCACTTGCTTTCTAGCGTATCTCCCACCTCCTGTGCTTGTGAACATGAGGTTTTAACTCCAGGGCAGGACTTTGTTTACCCTCCTGCAGTATATTTCCTCTTTTTAGCCTGGGCCTCTCCTCCCAGCCTCTGGGGCTCTTCTTTTGCGTTACCCCTCTCTAGCCTTGTCACTGGCCTGTTGGTTAAGCAGGGAGACACTTCCTTCAATCCAGAGCCCACAAGTTCTGGGCAGGCTGGCTAGAATGTTGTGCAAAGCCTAATGAGACAAAATGGAACAGAGGTGGCACAAGTCATACGCTCGAGTTTGAAAGTCAAGCTCATAGGAACAAGATGGGGGAGCTCCCAGCGAAGGAAGGCCGCTAGGGGATGGGTCCTGCCCATTCCGTACCGGGGGAGGGGATGGTTGGCCTGGAGAAGAGAAGCGTTGGGCGTGGCATTGGGCAGTGCCAGAGCTGCCAGATGCCAGAGTGCTGCCAACCTTGATGAAATGTCATTGGGAAAATCCGAGAAAATAAATAGATGCAGGAACACAGAGAGGATGCTAATTGGTGGCCTTCTGAGTCACTCTGTGTGCAGTTGAGGGGTCCCATTTCCTTGAGTACGGCGCCTCTGCTCTACAAGACAGAATGCCCTTCTTGGCCCCAGAGAGCAGAGCTGGCACTGATGGGGGGAGGTTAGCAATGCATGTGGTACTATCCCAGAGTAGAGTGGGCTGCCCAGGAAAAATGGCGGCTGACTGCTCAGTGGGGAGCTTCGACTGGCGCTGACGGCGACGTTGGGGCGGGGCTGCTTGGCCGGGGGCGTGTGGGGCTAGGCCAGATGGCCTCGCGAGGCCATGCGTGGCCCTCCTGGGCAGAATGGTTCTGCCCTTCCCTGGAAAGCCATCCTTTTCCTTGTCTTGTGACAGCTTCGAGACGAGTACATCCAGAAGCTGGCAGACACAGACATGGTTGAGAGGCACATCATTCAGGCCCGGGCTCGGGCCTTGGCGGAAGAAGATAGGATCCTGAACAACATCAAGGCCCAGGGATTTGGAACTGCCTACTTGCCTCCAGGTATGGACCCTGTGCTGGCTCTTGTGCAAAGGCGTGGAGCTGGCCCCGTGGCAGGATTTAAGTGGAATCCGAGGGCGCCTCTGTCCTTCCCGGGGCCTTCTTGGAGTTGCCAAAGCCCAGGCTCAGTAGGGGCCGGCAAAGCTATCCAATCCAGTCAGGGCCCGAGCAGGCCTCTGTGCTCCAGGAACAGCCATGTCCACCTTTGGACAGGACAGCTCAGGCTTTTCAGAAGTTTTCTCGAAGATGGAGTGGAAATCGACTGCTTTGTGACTCTGGTCCAAGTAGGACAGGGCTTAACCCCTTTCTACACGGGAGGCCTTTGAAGCGCGCCAGCGCACATCCCCGTCGGTGCTCTGTCCTCCCCGACTCTTGTCACGGGGCTTCGTAGGGTCCTGGCCTCGAGGGCCCTCACCATCACGGGCAGCCTCCTGCTGACATGGCCCAGCGCGTCGATGTCCTTCTTAAAAAGTGGTGACTGAGCCAGCTGGAGGTGCTCTGAGCGGGGCGGGGCAGGGCCAAGGGCAGCGAGAGCCGTCCCCCGGGGCCTGGTGCCTCTGCCACTGTGTGTTACGTCCACTTTTTGCTGCAGCCACATTGTCGACTTGACTTATGTTGTCCATTTGGGCCCCCATGGGTCTGCCATATTATACTTGTACAGTTGACTTTAATACATGGGGCAGCAGGGTGGCAGAGGGGATCGAGCCCCGGGCCTGGAGTCAGGAAGACTTGAGTTCAAATCCAGCCTCAGACATGCTAGCTGTGTGACCCTAGGCAAGTCACTTCACCTCTGTTTGCCTTGGTTTCCTTATCTGTGAAATGTAGATGATAATACTAGGACCTGCCTCCTAGGGTTGTTATGAGGGTCAAATGAGATGACAGTTATAAAGTGCTTAGCACAATGCCTGGCACATAGTAGGCGCTATATAAATGTTAGCTGTTGTTTTTAAATCCAAGTATATGAGAGAACATGCATTGAGTTTGATTTGATGACGGTCAGTCCGTCATTCTAGCCTATGAATTTTTGGGTCCAGCAGGCAGTCTCTGGCCCACCAGGCCCTGTCATCCGCATGTGGGGTCGGCCAAGTGCACCTGACCCTGGCCGGACCCTGATGTTGTGCATGGCCCAAGGCAGAACCTTGGTTGTGCTGATGCCTTCGGCAGCACCGTCTGAGGCTGGGCATCCAGCTTGTCTACAGGCCCCTACTGGGCCCCCTAATCCGGCCCCCGGCTCTCCAGGAGGATTCCCCCTTGTCCTGCCGCTGCTTCCCTGCCCCAGCAGGCCCCCCACCTTTGTGTGCTTCAGCTGGCCTCCTCAGACACCCCCTGGCCTAGCCCGTGTCCTCTGCCCCCTTCGCCCCCCAAAAGCTCAAGGGGCTTCTGAGAATCCTGGCTGGTGGCCTGCAGGCAGCAGAGTCACGGGAAGTGTCTGAGGAGAGGACGGTGTGTTCTGGACTCCTGTCAGGGGGATGGTTGATGTCGGGGAGACAGCTGTTACGGGGTGCAGGGGAGCGCTGCTGACCCCTGGCCTGGGGCAGTGGTGAACACGATGGGGAGCTGGCTTCTTTTTCTTGGCATAGTTCCTAGTGTTCTGTCTACATTCCAAGGCCGACTTCCTCGGCCGATTCGTTTGCCCTCCACAGCTGGCCATCCTTCCTTCTCTCTGGTGTTGTAAAGAGCCTGTGCCCTTGTCCAGTGCCATGCCTGGTTTTGGCTTCCAGGTCTGCACCTGTGGCGCTCACCTGCCTGACGTGTCCTCCTTCTTTGGCCGAGCCTGAACGTTTCACAAGGCCCGGCTCGAGGCCATCACCTCTCTGAAGGCCTTCTTGTCCCCCCTCCAGGCCCCAGCGGCACTGAGCCTTCCTGCCCTCGTCTCCCATTGGGTGTCTCATCAGTCTCCCACAATGCAGGGCTGGGTGGGATTGCATTTGTTTTTCACGGTGAGATTTGTCCCCCAGCTAGACTGGAAGCTTCTAGAGGGAAGGGGTGCTTGTCTTCTTTTCCTGCCTCCCCCATAGGACTGACCTGACAGAGGGTTCCTGCTAGGTGCCAGACACTATGTGAGCCCTGGGGTACAAAGGAAAGGCCAAGACAGCCACGCTCCGAGGAGCTGCCAGTCAAGGTGCAGATCAGTGTAGGGGCAGCGTGTGGATGGGCCAGGCAGGGTACAATGGGGATGGTCCCAGAAGGACGGCCCCAAGATGGAGGAGGCTTGGAAAGGAGAGTCGCGGTGCGGGGCATGGGCAGGGGCGGTTCTCAGAGGAGGGTGACGGTGTGGCACGTGGTAGGGCCCTTAAGAAGAGCCTGAATCGCAGTGGTCTGTGCACTTCTGCCCGCCAGCTTCCTGGCATCGACTTTATGTGTTAACTCTCTGCTAACTGTTTGCTTATCCCTTCTGTCCAGTGAGGTCCACCTTCAGATGGTGTGTGGATGGTGAGCTGCTGAGGAAGAGCAGCTTGATTTGTCCTGGTGATTACATCCGTGACCCTCTGCCTTTTTCCCGAGCACCCAAAGGTAATGTTTCTCTCGCGTCTAAGGAATCTCTTCTCCAAATACCAGCTCGCATTATGGATCCAGCTTGAGCTTGGAGAGGAGCCGGGCCACGCTGCTCTCCATAGTGGCTTGGGGTCCTCGCTGGGCACATCCATCTTCATGGCGTTTGTCCCGGGCGGGGTGCCCCTGTAGGGGCACGAGCTCTAGGCAGGGTGGTCACCATGGGACAAAGCGAGGCACGGCCCTGCTGGGTCCTGTGGCCCCTGCAGGGCCTGGACAGTCGGCAAGCCGGCTGTCCCTGGCTTCTCCTGGGTCCTGGGGTGGCGAGGGTCTTCAGGACGAGAGCCCTTTCTCCGTCTTGGGTCCCTCTGTCCAGTCCCTTCTCAACTCAGACCCCTCTTCAGAAGGCATGTTTCTTTCCCCAGGCCCATTGTGTGTTGACCCTCTGCGCCGGTCGCTGGGTGCTTTGTTCTAGATGAGGCCGGGGCAGTGGGAACGTAGTCACACAGGGAGGGCTTAGAAAAGGACGTGGTCCTAGCCCGTGGCTGCAGCGGGGTCGCCCAGGAGCTGCCGCGTCTTGGCAGGGCGCTCCAAGCCAGGGCCAGGGCAGACCTCGGGGCTGGAGTCAGCGGCGTCTGGGTGTTGAAGAGGGCCGTTTGCTCGTGTCAGTGGCGGTCAGTGGTGTCCAGGCGGATTAGGTCCCCATTTCACTCAATGCTGACGCTCTCCTGGGGGTCGTTGAATTCCCCGGGCCTTGCCAAGGTGGGGGGGGTCACAGGGTCCACTTCCTTGATTTCCCCTCTCTGTGGCCCGACTGCCCCCATCTTCCTCACTGACTTCCCTCCTCTCTTGGTTCTCTCTTGCGAGTACTCATCCTTGTCCTGCTTCCCTTCAGATGCCCAGAGGATGCTTCCATGCCCCATCCCCTCTCAGTCCTCCCCAGGACCCTGCCTTTCTTTGCTCCCTGGCCTCCCACAGATGCCCTCTAGCCCATGTCCTCTGCCCGCATTGCCCCTTACCAGCAGCCCAAACCAGCCCCTTCCCCTCCAGGGAAGACCGAGTGTCTTCTGAGCATGCCGGAGGGGTACTTACCTGGATGTTTTTAATCAAGTGCAACTTTACTTGTATCTCTTGTTCTGGGGTCGTCCACATTTTCCATTCTGTCCTCCCCCCTCACCACTGCTACCTCCCAGAGGGCTGTCTCTTATAATGAAGAATAAGAAAGGGGAGAACTTTCGGCAAAGCTAACCATTATGTCAAAGAAGGCTAGTGCTTATGTAGTATTCTATACCTGTGGTCCCCCACTTCTCTGAAGGAGCAAAGAGAGGTCAGACTCATGTATTTCAGCCTTTCCTTAAGTTGTATTTACTGCGAGAAACAGTCGATGAATTTGATTCAGGAGCTCAGAAGTAGTGCTGTGGCTGTGAATTCCTCTCTGGTTTGTCCCTAGAGGAAATCCCTATTGTTCAGTGACACATGGCCCAGAAATGGTGGTCCCCTGGATGCCCGGTCTTTCCTAACGTTCCAGAGGGAGGCAGTGTGTTATCATTACATTGCTGCCGAAAACGGGGCTGAGAATTTGGTTTCTTCTCTGTGAAGGTTTCCTAAACCCAGGACTTTGTCCCGTATAATGGAGGAAATTCCCAGCAGGCCTCCCGTTCTGTGTTCATGATACTTCATCTGGACCCGCGTGTGGCAGAGCATTTGGGGGAGAGCAGAGCCGCCGGCCTTCTGTGTCCTTTCCCCTGGTGATAACCTCGGTTTCCTTTGAACCACAGGAGACAGTGAGCCAGAGTGCTACAAGATGACCTTTAGCAGCCGGCAGCACAGTGTAGGCGCAGACAATGTTCAGGTCACAGAGATGGCCAGCAAGGAGAAGCTGCCCGCCATCCCTTCTGAAGTGTCCTTGTCTACCCTGACAAAGTGCTCGACACCAGACGTGAAGCCCCCCAAGGTGGTCAAGGTAGGCGCCAGAACCCCCCACCCATGTCTCTTTGCGGGGGTGGGATGGTGGTGGAAAGAGACAGAAGAAAGGGGAGATGCAGAGAACCCCCCCACGCCGGCCACATGCCTTTGGGGGAGGGGTGGAGCTAGGCAATTTTGCATCAGCCCTCCTTTTTCTATTTTTTATGCAATTGGGGTTAAGTGACTTGCCCAAGGTCACACAGCTAGTAAGTGTCAGACGTTTGGTGTGAGGCCGGACTTGAGCTCAGGTCCTCCTGACTTCAGGCCGGTGCTCTAGGCACTGCGCCACCTCGCTGCCCCAGCCCTCCTTTTGTCTTGTGTGCTCTGAGTCTGGGCCTGCACCCCAGAGCAGCGTTTGCCCAGTTTTGAATAGGTGTTTCCGCTTGTTTCCCAGACATACCACTTTCCAAAGAATAAGATGTGGGTGAATCACTTAAACACGACCCAGCGGGTGCAGGAGCGACGGCTTCTTGCCAGATTGGAGAACCAGCACAGTTTTCTCAAGAACCCTCGCTTTTTCCCACCCAACACTGTGGATGGAGGCAAGTCCCTCATCCTTCCTGTAAAGAAGACAGGCGCAGTGGGAGACGAACGCAATGTTGAGTTCAGTGCGAGGTTTGTCTGGGAGGCGTGTGTCCACAAAAAGTGAACCCCAAGAACAAGAAAGGCTTGACGGCTTCTCTTCTCTCCAAGGGTGTCCGTGCTCTGCTTTGGCAGGGCTGGGGGAGGGCCCTGGGGATGGGGTCTCCGGTAGTCGGACATAGAGCGGATATTTGTCGAGCAGCTTGTGGGAACCGCACAGAGAGCTGGGATGGGGGGCTGAAGCCTCGCCCGTCTGGAGACCCTCTTTCTTCTTTAGGTCAGCACTGGATTCCAGTTAGAGAAGGGAGGTCCCTGTTTGTTTTCTTGTGATCTCAGTGTGTGCTGGGGGTCCTCCCAGTGCCTGCTCCTGCCAGTGCTTTAGCTTGGTGGGTCTGCAGGACTCTTCATTCCTTTCCCAATCTGACAGTTAGCAGGAAGTGAGCAGAAATCCTGGTTTTTCTGCCGGTAACTCATCGACACCACTTCTCCCAGTCGGTCACCAGTGAGCGAGCACTGATTTGGCCTCTGGTGTGCCAGGCATACGAGATAAAAGTGACACCTCACGTATGTAAATCAGCAGGTACAGAATAGATGCTCTGCCTGGGGGAGGAGAGCGGTGGCGATGGCTTGGAGGTGAGGCGTACAAGCCTTGGCTGCCCCTTGAGGCATGAGCAGCACCTGGGGGACAAATTCACATGCGCACGTGTCTGTGTTTGTGGGTCTAGTAGGCCTTTTTTTTTTCTTTCCCTTTTCCTTCCAGAAATTTTGACGATGCTCCGGTGTTTCTACCTAAGCCATCAGTGGCTTTTTTTACCGATTACGTGATTGGACCAGTTTACGAGGTAGAAATTTGCTTCCTTACTGACTCCTCCTTAACCGTCACCACTCACAGCCTTTGGCTCAGGCCACACAAAGCCATGCTATTCTGATGGTTAGTCACAGATAGGGGGAAGCCTTCCCAGACACATCCAGACGTTGAACGATGTCTGTGGTGACAAGGATTAATAAAAGGCTGAGGAAACTCGAGGGAGGGCCTTCTCCCCTCGTCCTGAACCACGGTGCTGCATTGCCTGGTGTGCTCTGCTCACCACAGAGTATCTCAGGAGAGGTCGGAGGAGGCCCAGGAAGGGACAGCCCGGAGGGAAAGGGTCTCCTGGCGGACTCTTTGGTTTTGAGAGAAGAAAGCTCAGACTGCTGTCCAGCAGAACAGGAGGGTGTGGGGGGATGTGAATGCAGGTTTGTTCCTTGACCCCACAACACTAGAATTGGGACTCCCTTGGGCAGGACAAAGAGCAGGGAGCTCCAGTCTCTGCAGTGTGGAGTAAAAGGGTTTAACCAAATAAAAACTTGATGGCAAACCAAACCTGGTGAGGCTCCTGAAGAGCTTACCTAGATTCCTAGATTCCAGCTCTGCGCCATGTTGTTCAGGGCAGTAAGCGGTTCATTCTCTCATTCATTCACCGCCTGCCGATTGGGAATGTACAAAATCCTGGGTGTCAGGGGGCGAGCTACAAAGATGGGGGAGAAACGGGCCCTGTTCTAAAGGGACTTCCGGTCTAGCAGGGGAAAGCCGACATACCCGGGGGCACGTGCTGAGTGCTTGGGGTAGGCAATGGTGGGAGGGCATCACGAAGGCTTGGGGAAGGAGGCTGTCTCGGAGCTGGGGCTGGGTTGATAGAGAGGTATAGAGACCCGAGAACAAACATCTGGGGAGAAGAAGTCTGGCGTGACCGGGAGATGAGGTCTGTGTGGCTGGGCAGCAGAGGCCGAGACGGCCAAATGGATTGAAGACTGCCCAGGCCGGTGACCCTGGAGGACAGTGAGGGGGTTGGGAGGTGATGGCAGCCACTGAAGGGTCACCTGCCGAGCACACTCCATTTCTTCTTATGAGACGTGGATGGGCAGCAGGCAGTGAAGCAGACCCACTGGGAGTGGGGATGCAAGGGAAGGCTGGTTACTTTGCCAGGGTCCTCTGCAGGGAGACCCCTGGTGAAGCTGGGGGGTGGGTGAGATGTCCAAAGGAGAGAGTGTCAAGGAGGTGGCTGGGGACAGAACCTGGGAGAACAACCGTGTGAGGAGAAGGGGCCCCAGCCCCTTCCCCGGGAGGCCCGGTCGTGACTCATGGCTCACTGCAGGGACTGTCACAGGTCTCGGTAATGGCCTCTGCTCCACGAGGTCGGACAGGAACCACTGGGGACCGGCAGAAAGCGCAGGCCGCTCGACTCGGGCCAGAGAGTTGGGTTTCTGAGCCGTGCCCCTGGGTTGTAAACGGCAGGGGTTGGGTTCCGATTCAGCCAGACCTTGGATTCCCACCTCGTTCTTTAAATGATAAACCCAGATTGTGCTCGAGCTGCAGAACGTGACGTCCACCAGCCGCCCCCTGAGAGTCCTCCCTCCGTCCACGCCGTACTTTTCCCTGGGCCTGGGTGAGTGTGAATACGTCTCGTGGCGGCTTAACCCCAGCTGTTTCCTTGTTAGTGGGCCAGCGCTTTTCTGCTTCCCTGTGGCGGAAGGCCGTTGATATCGGCACTCCCACATGGTGGGGCCACCCCAAGCCAGCTCCCTCTAGGGTAGAGTTTTGGTCCCCTGCTTCAGACGCCCAAGGTCACAAGGTTGTTGTCACGGGCTGTTTACTGACGAGCGAGGCCTGGGGAAGTTTGAGCGCACCTGGGCTCTGGGCTGGCAGGGGGCCTGCCCCAGGCATCTTTCGCACCTCTTACCGTCCTGGAAGCCCAGCCACTCTGCCCAGACTAGTGTAGCACACATCAGCCCTGAGCATTGCTCAGAACGGCAGGAGCAAAGGCGCAGGGAGGCCTTTCAACATCAGCACAGAGGTTTTAGGGTTCAAAACCCACCTTCCGACTTGTTAGCAGGCAGCCAGCCAGCCACGTGTTGGTGCTCCGAGGGAGAAGGAGGCCTTCCGGGGGAGGAACGCTCCTTCTCCTTGGTGAGTGGGAACAGAACAGCAACTGCTGTCTGCCTCAGTTTCCTCAGCTGTACCATTATTATTCCAGGTGCAAAGCCCTTAGCGCAGTGCCTACTGAGCACACAGAAAGGGCTTAATCAATCCTTGTTCCTTCCCCCTTCCCCTTGGGCAGTGCTGGCTCCTCTGAAGCCCCCACTTGTCTCCCCCAGGCGGGGGATGCCTGGGTCAGCAGCCCGCTGATCCATCCCAGGTGTCCTGGGGACAGAAGCTACTTCTTTGGGGCAGTTTGTTTTCAGGAATGCTTGGGGCCACATGGTGCCTCTCCAGAATCAAGGAGCCCTGATCCCCGAGAGCTCCTGGTGTGGGCACCTGAAAATCCCAATGCTTGTCTCTGTCTGGCAGGAAAGTTCCCGGGAAAAGGAGGACTGGTGGCCCCTGGGATGATCTGCCAATACACGGTCCGCTTTGCTCCTGACAGCCTTGGAGATTTTGACGATTTTATTTTAGTGGAAACTCAGGCGGCCCGCACACTTGTGATCCCCTTACAGGCCAGGAGATCACCTCCAATACTGACACGTTAGTATGGATTCCAGCAGCTGTGGGGTGCTGGGGAAGCAAGCAGGGGGTAGGTTGGAGACGTGCCAGCCTCCCAGAGGGTGCCTGGGACGGGAGCTCCCTCTAGCAAAGCAGGTCATGGACAGACAGGCTGTGGTGTAGATAGCAGCACGGTGCCCTGGGCCCTGGGCCCTGGATTCTGATCCCAGCTCTGCCCTGAGTTTTGTTTCCATATCTGAAAGATGGGGGGGGCCGAGGTCCCTTCCAGCTCCAAATCTGTGGTGCTTGCTAGGTCCTAGGGTGTTGTCGGAGTGACAGAGAAGAGAAAGCGTTTACCCAGCATCCAGCCCAGATAAGTGTTCTGCCCTGGGCCCCACAGCTAGTGTCACTGGTAGATCCGAACCCGATTCTTCCCGACTCTGAGCCCAGCAGGCTGTCCCTACGCCAGATTGCCCCTGGCGGGGAGCAACAGAGGGCGTGCCCTTTGACTGAGGAGCGGCTGAAGGAATCATGGTGCGGGGATGTCATAAAACATGGCTGTGCAGTAAGAAATGGCAAATGTGAAGGAGTCAGAGAAACCTGGGGAGATTTGCATGAACTGATGCAGAGCGAAACAAGCAGAACCAAGAGAA